GTGGTGATTTGGTTTTTGATAATCGTTCTTTTTGCTTAAAGAAATTTTTTAAACACCAATTCACCCCCCTCTTGGTTAGCCTCGGGCCAGTTCTATAGGACTTAACATCCCTAACAAACTTTCACTTTTTACATGAATATTTGCACTTCCAAAATGAGATACAAGTTTTCAAGCTAGCTAGCATTAAAAACTCCTAAGTTCTAATGCATATTCATAATATAGTCAATTACTATCAAAACATATTCCATTAGATAGAGCTCTCATATTAGGCATGGATTTTTTCTATGCTTAGAGGTTGTCTTAGTGTGTCAAGTAACGACAATCCTAACCCATATATTATTATGGGTTTGCTTGAATAATTCTAGCTACATATAACTAGTTTATTTAATTTATTTCTTTTCATAGGTAATTCTCTATATTGCTAGAGTTTGTAAGTCATGCATATTTTTAGATCAACCTCTTAGAACTTTTAAGTTTTTTATTGGGTTTGAAATCATGGTGCCAACTTTAGATGATGTAATTCATGATTATCAATAAAGTGTCTCACAGCTAGGTTGTTTCTCCTACCATCTCAGTTAAATGATTTTAATATGGATAGCCTAAGAAGGATGGACTCATGAAGACTTGACTAAATGATTTTTATTCGTCGTCATTACCCTTTGATCCAATTATACTTATTTATTAAGACTCTAGTTATTCAAAGACTTTAACTATATATTCTTATTATGTGGAGAGATAACCAAATTGCTTAGTTATATTGATTCACCTTTACTTAGAAGATTGATATGTCTTAAAGCACATATTGTAATATCATGTCAACAATCTTTGAATTAGATTACTTTTGATAATAACATAAATAAATCAAGATAAATGTATGTTTTACATATGAAGAGTTGCTCTTGGAGGTATCCTCAAGCATAATTGATCTTTGGGAGCCTAGTCCCTTTGGGATATTAAATAACCCACATTCATTCAATTTGACTTGACTAGACTTCAATATATGAGTCCTCATGAATATAATTTCTTTGGGATTTTCTTGATTCCTGCCTCATCTCTAATAAGTCTTGTGAGTCTTTAGTCATCTATGCATACTAAAAGATTACATTATGAACAACCTCTTAAACTTGGCAAATAAATTTACTAATCCTAGTGGAGTCACGAGAAGCATCATAGTGGTGATTCTTTGAATGTTGTAAAAAAGATCGCACCTCAAGGCACCATCGAGAGTCATTAGGGAAGTGGTTAACTCAAAAGATCTCTACAGAGAATGCATACATCAATTGTAGCTTCCTTTTTATAGCCCACTGAGTTGGTTTGGATTCCACAATATTGTCCTAATAGTATGTGTCATCCATTATCTTGTTCTAAGGTGGCACCCTTGTGTTAGGTGGATTCCTTCAAACAATAGTTTTAGAAGGACCCGTCAGGTGCATCTAACCCTGGGAGGGTCTTACAGGCTTGCCTTAGGGCCCCATAGATCATTCTTCCAAGTCCCTCTTCCATCTATGCTAGCTATCTATTCATGATAAAATCTTGGAGATCCATGTTGATTTGTTCTTCTAAGATAATTTACTAATCTTCTTGAATTTCTTAGTTTATAATTTGTGGAATCAATTCTTAAAGAATGTTGAAACAAAATTTAACCATGGGAGACATTCAAACCTTACAAGACTTTTGAGAGATTTTAACAGAAAGGGAGAGTTGTGTGTGTGTGTGTGTGTGTGAGAGAGAGAGAGAGAGAGAGAGAGAGAGAGAGAGAGGTATATAATGATTTCTTTTCTTTTTATCTAAATGTATAATTCAGATTCCAATCATTTGTCCTCATTTCCTCCCCTTAGTCCTCATTTTATAGGTCGAGTTTTGGTGTTATAAGTTTTATATAGTAAATCTTAACAATATTGTGTCCTTTATCTTTTGGGAGGCACATTTCCCAATATAAGAACATGTTCTTTGATTTCCTAGCAACGATTTTGACAATTTATGTGTTGTCAGCCAATTTGAATGCAATTCTACATAATGTCACCTTTCTATGGAAGGGAAGTTATTTATTTAGTTTGGTGGAGATTGTAAGTTGGCTGGTGCCTAAAAATTTGGGCAAGCTCTTGGGTTAGATTGGCCACACTAGCAAGCTCTTTGGGGACCTAGAGAGTTCTATTTAGTCAGGTTAACAAGTTTGCGACCAATGTCAAGTGGCAAGTTGAGACAAACTTGTAATATTGTGAAATCTTGGATCCGAGTGACTTTCTTAGAGTAAACATGTAGGTCGTATATAAATATAAATGTTTTTTGAATTAAAAAAATGCAAAATAGTTATCTCTCAGCCCAACTATTTTTTTTTAACTTTA